TGATAACGTGTACAGTACTCCAATCTGGCCCCTGATACACAAATTTACCCATTACTTAGTGAGCTTATCAGGGTGGAGAGACATGGTAGAAACTCTACATGGTCAATCTCCACTTCATAAGAAAACTACGAATCACAAATCTGTTAATCTCCACTGGCAAAGCTTGCATTCCAAAATTTTATGAAAAGTGTATAACCTGAATGGATTCAAGCTGGAAGATGACCATAAGGATTTCCGATGGAAAAATGAAGACATTGCTCTTCTGCTGCTAAATTAATTCTCTCGTTACAGCTAGGTAGTAGGTCATTCCAGTCGAAAATCTAAACTTTCCCCACTGCACAAAGCATGGACACTCTCAAGAAATCTCTCCTTAAGCGGTCCAATAACCATCCTTTGGGTTTTCAGCTTAGCCCCTGTGCAGTTGCGAAACGCCTAATCCAATCCCGAACGATGTTCGGATTGGCAAACTCAATGCAGGTTAATTTAACTCAAGAAGGGTTGGCAAGTACCACTGGGGATCTTCAGGGCTGTTGAAGTGCTAGAAACAGCGATCGATGATCTAATGGCTGGATGGCATTTTTCAAAAATGGCAGAAATTGAAGTATTTAAAAATTCCACACATGTTATAAAGTTAAAACAAAACGTCCGTGCTGCTTTTCATGCCATACTTGAAACCGCTGACATGGCTGGATATTATCTAAACTAAAAAATGTCACTGTTCGGGGACCAGAGATGTGACGGAAAATTCTAGGATGGAATAAATATTCACTAAGAAAAGCCAGGCCTACCCTTAGAATCAGTCAAACCCGTGAACAGCTTCGCATCGACCCCTGGATTTTTCTCGGCTTTTTCTGGGCACTCCAGGGAAGAAATTCGATTGTGACTGATTCTAAGGGTTGTAGCCTTATTACTGTTACTGATTATAGCCTGATTTTGTGAACACGAGTTTATTCCACCCCTAGAACTTTACGCCACATCTCTGGCCCCTGTGGTTGGAACCCGTAAGGAGTCTTATTAGCTCAAGGAATAAGGTTCCCTATAAAAATAATTCTAATAATAATTCTAAGCGTTTATTATATATGAGTGTATATATACGCGAATGCATCAGACCTCGATCCTAACAAAACTGTTGGAATAAAGCTGGTACAACCTGGACGCAAATCTTATGATCACGTTCTTACTATTACATACCTCATTGAAAATAAGTTTGAAATTGAGATGAAAACCTCTGCCGTTTTTTGACCTAACGGCAGCTTGCCATCTGAAGAAAAGACATTCTCATCTTGCTTGGAATCCAACTCCATCTCTTTTCTTTCATGTCTGTTAAAGTCCACGATGTTAAGTCTAATTTAAGAACACCTAGCATCCAGGACGCAGGGAAAGAACTTGATGTAACTCAAGAATTGTTTTCTACAAGGTCAGACTCAATCCATTACTTTTCCACTTATAAACATCCGACAAAAATCATATACGTTTTAGGTAATAACAAGATGAAGAATACGGAATACTCACAAACAGAAATGTGTCAAGCTGTGGGGGCCCTAACAAATTATTCCAATCCTCAATGATTTTCTCCATTGTCCTTGGAGATCTTAAACCCAAACTCACCGAAAATTGAGAGTTACTGCTGTATTTTCGATAAAAGAACAAGCTGGCTTTAAAACTGAAGATGGTTATTGATATTGCAAAGCTTATTTAATCCCAATTTCCATACAAAGTACAAGGTGATCTCTCATGGTAGATTTCCTTCGTTGCATCTCAAGTACAAACCAAGAGGATTAAGTACAAACCATTAAGGTCTCATATGGAGAGCAAACACAAAGATCATAGTTCTACTGCCTTCTTTCTTCGGATATTAAAATTGATAGTGTGGATCGTAAACATAAACAAATGACGTCACTGACCGGAATGTGGAATATAAACATGTATGTATGATATACAGATGTCACTGGCATGTCTTAACCAGATGGTATGATCATTAGTATATTCGGGCCAGTGACTTCATTTGTTTATGGTACTGTTATCTGTTTCATATGTCCGTTTGTCCCAAGAATATTCTGCTTGATTATTTCGGTTTCGTCATTTTACCATGAGATTCCGTTTAGGTCTACGTAGCTTCTTTATATCTAACGCAATAGCAAAATTGGTGGAACGAACCTTACGCTAAGTGATGGGTGAAATTAGATTTAGACCACTCGTATTGTCATGTTAATCAAGATGCCAAGCATTCCTTTTAAAATTAACGTATGAACAGTTTCATCTTAGAATCTTAATAAATAATATTTTTGTTTTTGTAATAAAAATTCAAGCCTTTTCGGTTGTGCGACTTTAGTTATTCGTGTAACTAGTGGGCAAAGTGGCACTTTGCTGCACACGAGAGCAGCGGAATGATCTCGAGTGCAGCAAAGGCCTTTTGCACTCGTGTTACTCATTATAATTTTTCCTACAGTCACCCGACAAAGTTGGCTTCCTTGTACTGTTTATAGTACAGAAAGCTGCTAATTGCTGCAACCTGCCATTTTGTGTTTATAGTTTCGGTATTTCTAAACTTTCTGGACTTTTCTTTTAAACGTTTTTAAAACATTCCTACGATCTTAATAAACAAGAAAATACCTTTAAAGCATTTTTTTAGGCGCGGAAACCACTTAAAATTACAAAAATATACGGAACTATATTCTCAAGTCGCGGAGCACATTTCTTGCCGAGGAAAAATAGCGGAGTGATACGGACCGGGTACTACTTTCTCTAGGGCACCTATTTGTGTTGCCAGCTGAACCTAAAAACGTGTTGTATAGTGTTTGAAAGACTAATTATTTATATGCATTATAGTGACTGTAGGAAAAATTCTATCTAGCGTTTTCACTAGGTTAAACAGTACGGGGTTTAGTTGAAAATATGATTAACTTATTTAAACCCAATTGACATAGATTATGTTTGCCTTATAATTTCTATTATAACAACAAACGTAATATTTGTGACATTGTTTTTGTTTCATTAAATTTGGTATCGAAGTAGGATTTTTCAACGATCTGAGCAAACGAAATTTTAAACAGTATTTATGATATATACTAAAGAGTAACATTACAATGTTAATAGTCAATACAATACAATAGTATCAAGCCCATGAACAAAAAGATGTACTTGATTGATAAAAAAATGTAACCAAAGAATAATTGAGTGATTATTTTGGAACATACAGCAGTTCAAAGGTAATATTCAGTATTAAAAACGGACAATCTTTGCTAAAGAAAATATGTCAATTTGCTAAAAAAAAGCAATAAAAACTGACTCCTTCAAGCTGTAGTGGTTTTTCGAGCTATATAGGCCTACTAGCAGAGTACCCGTCCTTCGTACGGGGTTAACGTACAAATATAAAATGCTTATTGCAGTTATACTCATGCTTTGCGTTTGCAATGGGAGAGATGGTTCTTTAAATTTATGGTATGCAGTATGTTCATAGCATGGCATTGTGATTATGTTACATGGATCTACCGTAGCCACAATGTTCTACCACTGCACCTAAAACAATAAAAAAGGGAAATTCTCATTTTCCCCAGCTTTTTTGCTTGGATCAAATTAGATGTTGTCATAAATGCAAAAGAAATTAATAGTTCCGCACCCTGTTGGTAAACCTTATAACCTTTTAATGCTATTTAATATCATAGAAAGAACTTGCGTAGTTGAACCAGCTGACTAAATTCTTTTATTCCTTTAAAATATGAGTATTCATAAGGTTGACATGGGAAACTCCAAAGCCACTGGGACGCAGCCCGAAAGGATTTTTGAGATAAGAATGCGTCTATATGTTAATCAGGAATGTGAGCTATCATCAAACAAAACTTTAGCCCCATTCCGACCAATATTTTTCGCGTTTACTTGTCACAAACATCTATCCATACATCCAAACTTTCTCACTTATAATATTTCTATATTGTTATCTATTTGTTATTCTATATTTTATATTATTATTATTCTATATTAGATTATCATATAGGTATTCTATATTATAAAATTCTTCTATATTTTATATCTTTATTGACAGAAATATAATTTATATCAATCTGGCTGAGCTAGTGCTAAGACCAATTAATCACTTTTATATCAATTTCATTTTGAATTAACCAATAAAACTTTTGATACAACCTTTTTTGCTAGATTCGCTAGTTAAGACTTAAAAGTTTTAATAATTGTGCCAAATAATTGAACAATTAGAATTCAGCATGTTGTATATGTTTAAAATTTTCACTTATTCTGGAATATATGCATTTGTTTTGTGTTCGTTTATTTTTTAAATTAGGGCTTGTGAAATTGAGTATGTAGAAACAAAAAATATAGAATTTAGAATTTTAATATAGAAAATTAAAAAGATGTATGATAATAATCTATAGTAACGATTATATATAAATATAAATTGTTCTTGAGCGATTCCCTTAAGTTTTTTTAGTAGGAAAGAAGTTAATTTATGTTTTGAAATTGAGTGTGTTCGCTTCGCCATACCATATACACGAGATGTAACAAAATGTCTTTATGTGTTTATCGAGTTCATACTTACCTTAATGAAACATATACAAAGCGATATTATTCCTTAAAAGTTAATAACTCCAACTAACTTGTAAACAACTACTACGTAAAATAATGTGTTCCTTGCAAATTCTTTTAATACCACATACAGTAGAACCTCGATAACAGGTCTATCATGGGGATTATAAAACATGACTTGTTATCAAGGTAACATAAAATCGTTCTATACAAATATTTCAATAAAGGAAATGTTATAGAAAACGTTCTACAAATTCTAATAGAGCTTTGCAGTAACATGTGATTAAGGGTATTTAAAAATTAGACTTGTTATCGAGGTTCCATTGTATTACCCTAAAGTCCATGCCAGTCCCCAAATTATTTTAACTTGAGTTCAATAGGAGAGGTATTAATGGTCTAACTTCAACATTTCAGATTACAGGAAGGAAAAGGAAACAAGAGTACAAAATATATATCTTTATTTGTCACAGCGTAAATCACAGTTAGTATGTTTCACAACCTATTTATATATCACATGTTTGTAAAACAGCTGATTTCTAAACCTTAAACTTAGGAAAGTCATAACAATATACAGTCTCATTCTTATATATTTTAAAATAAATTATTAAAATATTATTTATAACTCAAATTCAGGTTCTGTATTTTATGAACTGTTAGGCTATTGCATAAGCTTTAAATTTTAATTAAAGAAATATAGTTCTTTGAACAATGTTTATATTGGGCAAGGGACGTAAGCGTTTATATATATTAAAAAAAATTAAGTGTATTCATAATTTTCGATAACTGGGGAAATATTTTCGAATACATGGTGTTTTTTCATACCTTATTAGTGAGCTGGCTAACGTTTTTATAATTAAAAATAAATAACATCTCATCTAAATTTAATATTTATGGTGGTTAAGTTTTTTTTTCCAATAAAAAATGTAAAAATGTATATAATTCCTAAAATTGTGTTTTAATAGTTTTCTCCGACATATAACAGAAGTATAAGAGCCATTATACATGATCCAAATTTAAACAACATTGTTTCATAAATGTGAATAGTTTTGTTCTTTAAAAACAAGTTTAGATAAAGCTGGTTATTGAGTTTATTGATATTAAAATACCTCTTTTCCACTTATCAGGCTTTGAATACCTTGCTTACAAAAGTGTTCAGCCAAACATAATACAGATTGAATGTAATATGTGATATTAAACACTCGTCTTTTGATATTAAACAAGATATCACTGAACATTGTCAAGACTTTCAATACACAATATTGTTAGGTATCACGTTATCAAGTTGTATTAATAGAAACATTATTAAAGGTTAGTTCGACTTCTTGGTATTCTATTTGTATCAAAAACTCCTTTCATAAGTATGATACAATTTTCTTTATATTTTATAAGCCTAATTTTAAAATCTCTTTTGAGTAGTGGGAATTTATTTATTAATGTTTGATCTAATAAAACGGATTTTATGAATGAACTTTTCACCTGCGTATTTTCTCACGGAATTAAACGAATTTCAGAGACGTTAAAATACATCTTTTGATCATTTAACATAATATCTTAATTTAAGCTGAAAATTGACCTGAATTGCATTATTTTTTATCAAATCAGGCTGTAAATGGGCCTAATTAGTACATGTGTTTATGGGATATCCCTATATGTTTTTTACTAGAAAAATGGTAAATAGGCAAAATCCATAGGTCAGAGCCATTCGGATAACAAAAATCCAGGAACTGTTTTCATACCATTGATTGACTTTATGATCAAGTTGTAATAACTACTTTCTTAACTACATAAACTAGGGTCAAAATTTGTGAAGATATCATCCACATGTTGTTCGTCGAAAAAGAATAAAACAGTGAAATTTGACTGTTGATCTTTATCAGTGGTATTTAAAAAAAATACATAAAATATCATACTTTAGCTATGAAATGATGATTTATATAACAATGTAATTACGTTTCAACAGTTGATATAATTTGTAAAAGGATTTTCAATATACAGTGTGGTAGAAAAATCCCGGAACGGTTTAATATATTTTTTACCAATATAGATAATGTAATGAGACTAGGTATATCAATAATGGGCATAATTGTTGTTGTATACTCTTTTAAGCTATTGTAACCTTTTTTTCCCTTAAGAGGGACGGCCCACGAGGAGTCAGACAAAATTCTTAAATATCAGCATAGGTAAAGATATAAAAGGTTAGTAGAACGCATCGCCGCAAACCCGAACTCAAAAGGACAACTGAGTCAAAAATGACAGCTGTTCCAAGATTCATTGAATTTGCATTTCTACCTTATTATTCTACGCTACCTCCTCAAAGAGGCGAATGCGAGAATTCGGAATAAAAATCATTAACGTAAGCACAGGTCAATATGCAGATAAAATTAAAGGGGTTAAATAGTAGAATACAATTTCGCAAATTTGAGCTCAATAGAACAACTGAGTAAAAAATGGCAGCCGATCAAAGATACTCAAAATGACAGATTCAAGAAATATTTTAACAGCTGCCATTTTTTACTCAATTTTCCGTTTGAGTTAGGGTTTGCGGCGATGAGTTCTACTAACTAAAAGACCTTTATTATACACCAAACTCGACATATGCTGCTATTTTAGAATTTTGTCTGACTCCTCGTGGGTCGTCCTATAGTGTGTATATATCTTCATATAATCATTATCTAAAAATACTTTTTAGACTACTTCTCCTCGACTTGTTATTAAGTGTTGAACTGCCTTAGAAATTCTTGTTGAAGACGTACCAAATAACATTTCCCGAAAGGAGTTGAATTTTCCTATTAAAATGCAATAGACACAAACCAAAATTAGAGATTAAATTTTTAACTGGTAACAGTTCATTTTTAATACGTCTTTCAATAATTCTTAGCTTATAGTTAGGTTCTCATGAGTCATACTTATCAACCCCATACAGCTAAAATACAGCAAATCTGAAACAAAAGAGAAAACAATTTTATTAGTACTGAAAAATATGGCGTATCAAGCGAATGGAAATAATTCATTATTTACATTGACATGTGTGCATAAGGCATTTTCCAATCTTAGAACATTTACGTTAGTGCAACGTATCTCAGAGAGCGAGCTGGTCTAGTGGTTAGAGCGCGGGACTTCTCTCCCTGAGTACCCGGGTTCAAACCTCGCCAATGGATTTTATCTAAGTAATAATGTCACAACTCTTCTAGGTCTAGCCTGAAGTAATGTGAAAAACCATCCCGTGCTAGAGCCTCATGTTGTCTTTTTCTCAGCTGAAGTCACACTACTAGGCCTAAAATCACATTGTGTACAGGGTGTACCACGAAGAGGTTTAAACGTTTGATTTCATATTTCTTGCCCATTTATAGACCCAAAATTTTGTAACTTTACACAATTTATAAAGTAGGCTTAAAAATCTTCAGAGAAAACTTTTTTCAGAAAAATCAAAAAGATATATGTCTAATAACACTAGTAATAATATATTTAAACTTATACTGTTGACTCACAAGACAGTACATATAAAAGATGGCAAGTGGTGATATATTTCGATTGGACCCTCCAATCATCATCAGATTATTGGGTTACCATCATCAAATTAGTTAATGGGTTCTTTTTCATTAACTAATTATATTAAATTAATTTATTACTAGTTATTAACTGGTGATGTATCACAGTTTGAATAATTTATGACTCTAATGTTAGGTTAATTAGACTATGTTTTTGTTTCCTAATGGAAAAGCCGTATTTCCTTAAAATGTGTTAGTACAAATATTTTACTAAACCAAAAACACCATTTTTAATATTTTATTGTATTATTTTTCAATATGCCACCATCTTGTTTTCCAAGGGTTAGGGAGCCTAAATGTTCCTAGAATATTTTTAAAAAACCTACCTTATAACTTGTGTAAATTTTCAAATTGTTCGGTGCATAAATGTTCAAGTAATATAAAATCAAACGTTTAAACCTCTTCATGGGAACCCTGTATCACCCTGTATGTGGAAAGAGCAAATGAATATCAGAACTGCTTCACCACTTACGGTGTTTATTATGATGAATCAACAAATACAAATATGCACAAAATGGGAAATTAATTCACTGTGTTAAAAAAAATTGTCGTCAAATTGTTCTTCTGCCTCACTTAGCAAAATCCAACGGATACTTTGATTATAATATGTAAGAACTTCTTAAGTTCTTAAGTATATAAGTGTGCCAGCTGTTTTATTCTTAAGTTATAATAGATTTTTTAAATATGGCCATTTTTTCCATTTTTTTCAATATGGCCACCAACTTTGATTTTTTTATACAAGACCCTAAATTTATGATCGTTTTATTAAGTAAATACAATAAAAAATAAAAAAAAATCTTGGATTTTTTCTACAAAACTATTAGTTTAGGAGTTATTTATAACTTTCGAATAAAACTTCTGACAAACTTATATCAATCACCCTGTATATGTTACAATTTTTACTGCCCTGTAAAGCATTTTCAGCAAATCTTCTGAAGGAAAGTATTGTGTGAAGACAAATTAAAATGTAACACAAAATGTTTTTAATAATTTTATTTCATCATCCTGCAATGATATAAGAAACTAAGGGTATATTTAGTTAAATGTATAAGAAGGGTGATATGTTTAGCTGTTAACGAAGTATTTTATATCCAAGGACAAAATTCGTTCCATAATATAACAAAAATATAAGAAGATTAGGATAATATTTACTTTATTTTTTACTTAACATGATATTATATTTCATTACTAAAGCATAAAGTAACTTTTCGACACGAGCTAAGTTCAAATAGCCAGGGTTGAAAAATACCTTTTAAGTCCGTGTAAATATAATTTTCTTCATGCTGTACCATTCTTTTAGCTAAATAATTATAAAACGTAGGTTTTGTCCATTGTTACCTTTCCAAATTAGTTAAAAATAAAATGTCCCTTCTTGTTTTGCTAACTATACTTTTACTGTTATCAATATGCAATATGTATAACTCCGCAAACGTAATATCACATATATATTAATAAAAAACTAAAATTCTTTTGCAAATAAATTTGTCTAAATCGTTAAATGTGTGCATTATCTGCACGTTGATGTTGTGAGTATCTGGAATTTAGTTTAATTTACTATATTACATGATGATAAAGGCAAGACAGGCTTAATAACATCACAATACTCTTTTATTACTCGGAATGTTCTTCGAAGAGCCGATAAGAGAGAAAAGGAGCTATTTTAGCCCCTAAAGGCATATATTAATAAACGGTATCAGCAAAATGACACATTCTTCTCCCGTTACGTCCCCCCCCCCTATAACCCCCCTTATAAACCCCCCTTATAACCCCCTTATAATGGGTAAGCAGTGGGAGTTACTATGATATTTTGTTGTGAAAATCACACAAATTGCAATAACTTTTCAATAGTAGTTTTTACATCAATAGAAGTTGTAACATTTGGGCTTAATCTTCTACGTTTGGTTCAAAACCGTTCGAGCAATTTTTTGAAAATCCGAATTTTCTATAATTTAATATTTTTTTGTTGTTGGAGAAATCAACATTAAAAATCAAGAATTAAAAAGTCGCCTGGAGATACCATGTATTAGTAGAATACCCAATTGATCAAATAGTACAGATCTGATCGTACAGATACCAAATTTGATCAAAATCGGACCAAATGTGTAATCTGTAGCTTTGTACACATCCACACACCTAAACAGGTCATTAGAAACCCTAATTTGGGGGACACATAACTTCTATCTCTACCCAAAATCCAAACTAAAACATTTAGACGAAAATAATAATCTATACGTGAGGGAGAAAGTAAAAACAACCGTTTTTGCTGCTGCATAGAACCAGAAGTTTTCATGAACTAACATTCCTATAAAATACATTAATTTCATAAACAAATAACAGATTAACAGGTTTGTTGACAACTACGATCAAATGTGCAATTATTATTTGAATCCTAGTAGGTTAACTATTTATTATACATTTTATACCATAGTATCTTTAGTAAGCTTTACAATACCTTTCTACAATACAATAACTTTTAATACAATACTTTTTTATTATTACTTTTGAAAAACACATTTTTATGACACTAAAACAACAGAATTTGGCTTCATAAAATTGTTGTAATTGAAATACCAAGAAAATGTCCCTTTTCAGCAAACCTACTTACTATAGTATTAAATTGATAAATCTTTATCTAGAAGCCCCAAATCTTTATTCAAATTGAATTTACATATAGACTCATGTAATATAAATATTATTACCCTCAAAATATTTATTTGTAGCTTTGAGGAACACACAAATTTTTGATCAGATTTTAAAAACCTACAGTAAAAAAATGACACTTTGCCAGAATTGTACAAAAATATATTTATTAGCAACCCATCTCAACTACTATTATGGGTGTATTCGACAAGCTCCTGTTGTTAGCACTTTGAATTTATTCAAGCAATAGTTGTAGGATGATAATGTAGAGTAATACACTGTTTTGAAAGGAAATAAATAATTAAAAAATATGTTAGAAATATATTAGATTTACTAAGGGGTAAACCCCCTAATGGGAGAGACTCCAAGTATGTACAGTCAACACTGTGGAGAAAGCTTTAGCACTACAAATTAATTAATTAAAATGTGAAACTAGACCCACCACCCCCTCTCTCTCTAAAAAAAGAAAAAAACTAAAATTTATATATTATTTAAAAAAATTATAACAAAAAAACTACTGGAATTGGTATGAAATACCTAGTAAAATGTACCTTCTAAGGTTCTGGGCTGATACTGCCCAGGTTCTGGACTGATACTGGCCAGGTTCTGGGCAGATATCAGGCTATTTTTTTTGCTCATAATGGCCAGTACTCCGGCCCAGAATTCAGACACAATTATATGCGTTAGTTTTTATTTGCATATTAACTTTGGTAAATTAAAGATAACTAATAACGATTTATTTATTTTTTAAGGTATTTCAAAGACATAAAAAATTATGTATGGTTCTGTACAGAGCTACAGACCAGACCTATTGTCCAATTGGGATGAAATTCGGTATGTAGGCGTTTCCATGGTATTTCCAGGTGTTTTTATTTATATTTATAATGGTGATATTCCCATAAACTAACAGCAAAATCTAATTTTCCCGATAATGGCCTGAATGATTATAATAAAAACAAAACTTAACTCAAAACGTTATAGCCCTTTAAAATCAGAACAAAACGATACCACTCCTACAGCCGTAAAAATTACGGTAAAAATAAAATATTCCTATGAAAACATAAAATAACGGAATACCATATTTTCGAAAAAAATCCGATAAAAATAAGTATGTTATGGTCCTTATAATTTTAATTTAAATGGTACAACCCCTCCTTACTGTAAAAATTACGGTTTATAATCTATAGCAACTTTTGTGATTTTCCCTGTAAAATATCAAAGCTACTACCACAGCATACGTATACATAGGACAAGTATGTGTCAGATTACTGATACAGTTTATTATGTATGTTATGGCATGTTACAATCCTTCTAACGCTAATCAAAATGGTAAAACACCGAATGTCCTATATATCACGGTTTAAAGTTATTGTTAACTTTTAAAAGTTAAAGTTTTTTTTTGAAATTTTTATTTCTGATGGTCATTCCTCCCATAAAATTACAGAAAAATCAAATATTTACAAAAACGGATCAAACGATTATGGTTAAAATTTAGTATGTTATGGCTCTTTTTACTCTAAACAAAATATATTGCTGTATTGGATAATATTAATATATTTAATGTTATATATTAATCTATAACATAATACAATGTGTACACATGTATACTTAAACACATGTATACTACTTTACGGGGTAGGATGTAGTGTACATCCTCATTGTTGTAAAAATCACAGTTCAAAGGTTATTGCAACTATTGTGATTTACTCCATATGTCATAGTTACTCCCACAGCTTACCCATGATAAGGGT